GTCATAAGGTTAGTACTTTTACTTGGGTAAATGACTAGTCTGAATAACTTGGATTAGCTGCAATTCGTAGTTTGGTTCCCCAACTATGCAGTTACTCACTTCATCTAGTTGCTTTGAGCAATGTTACATCGTCTTGAGGACAACCTGCTAGTTGATATTCGTTCTGTTGCCTCAGAGGATTACCAGCACAGTGGTTCTAAGGATTTAGCTAATTCGAAACGCAAGGATGTGTTTAGAGCATCACCAAGTTGTTCAGAACAATTTTTAGCCACAGATGAGGTGATACCTCATCGAATTGGAATTAGACATCTAGTGAAAATGGGTGCCTTAAATCGCCATAGAACATTATAGCGATTTGCATGTAATATCCACAGCAGTTACGGCAGAAATACGTAATGATGTGAGCTGTTAAATGCGTGTTGTTTGTCGTGAACGGAATCCTTTCTCCGAAAATTGTTGTGGACTGGGAGGGAATCGAACCATTCCTGTCCACGTCCGGTTGTAATTTGTTGCCAGTACACCACTGGCCCTCGTGCGGGAGGTCGAACCTGGCAGCACATCTACTGTGTATCTGCTTTTCAAGGCTTGATTCGCCTTCCTTTTGTTCTCTTTTTCTATGTGGCGGGTTCTTAGCCGGCTTCGCGGGTTTTCCGCGGATGTTTCATGACAGTGTTCATTTATTTTCGGTGTGTTCTTAGTCAGTTTCCACTCTTTCAGATGCATCTTCTTTGTTACATTGCACATTTGCAAATCTGGACTCGAGCTTTGGTACGGAATGAAGCATTGATGTCTCTCTGTTTATCACTGATACCGGAAGGATACATTACAGCAGCGCAGCATGGATTAGAAGTAGCCACCGCCGAAAGATTCTTGAAATGGTTTAGATCAGCTTTTCAGCAAGCACAAAAAGACTACATAGCGAAGGATGGCTTTTGTGATGCTCAGGTACGTCACAGCTTTTATTTAAATCACCAAGAATTCGCTTAAAAAACAGGGGGGAGATGTGGGCGGTGGAGAGGAAGAGGGGAGGGAGGTGAAGATGAGAATGTAAAATGAAAGGGGCAAGGAAGAAAAAAAACGGCGCCAACAGAGAGTGACGAGGACTCAGTTTTAAGGAGCTGCTTCATTTGTCACTAAACCAATTTTGTTGTATTTTTGTTTACATTTTCAGGTTGAAAGATTGGAAGAATTGATTGGTGACCGAGTCTATGAAAACGATAAGGATTTAGCTTCGGTAAGCTAACACAATGTTTTTTACCTCATTTTTTGCAACTGGTAGGAAAGGGTCCGCACCATTGTTTATCGTGAACATATTATTTTCGTCTGTATTCGTTGACGTTTTGCTGTCATTCTATGCTTAGAGACTGAAGGCGAAGCGCGCACCTAACTATATTTCATGAATTAATCAGTCATATTTCTTATGACTCTTCTCTTCCAATTGCTCAGATACTTAAGGTTTTGTTAACTTTTGTTATTTAATAGTATTTTGTTTACTTGATCGGCTGTGTTTTATTTTTTGCTTTTGCAGCTGTGCACCTTTTTATCCAATGGTTAGCTCTGCTGACTACTCTGATTTTCTGGGAGTCATCAGCAGGATGACTATTAGGGAAAAATTCCTTACCCATGAAGTGATAGCGACTGGGAAATAAATACTAAGTTTGAAAAGAAACAAACCTCAGTTACATTTAAATTCGATTTGAGAACTTTCAAAGCCCCGTGGATTTTTATGATTTTCAGCTGTTATTTCTTTGTATGCTGGCAATGAAACAGTCGACACGTCTGTGCCTGTCATGTCAACCGGTCACACACAGATTGGTATCTTAATTTTTTTTACCAACCTCTGACATTTGTTTCTGAATTCTTAATGATTCTGCTGGTGGTATGTTGCTGAGATTGTGTAATGACGTATCGATCACATCCTATTTCCCGTGCAGTTGGCAACTTTACCAGTTGGTTTGACCAGTGCTGCATCTTCTGGTGGTCAGCATGTTGGTCATCAAGAAACGTGCATAGTAGTCCTAGAAAACATTATTCTGCTCACCCTTTTCGGTTTTATATCGGCGGATGAGATGGAACTGATGTTTTGAACTTGTACTTGTACTGTGTAAATTTGTTTTGCTACCTGATATGAAAACTGGCAGATTTCAAATTTTGATGATTTTCAAACTGTTATGATTAGAATTTTAGCTGATGTAAAATATCATTCAGACAATGCAAATGCTGCAGTCGGTGCACACGGAGAAGTTCGTAAAAGAGAGTATCGACAACAGAGATGCGGAATGGGAAGATAAGCTGGAGGAGGTCACAAAAAAGGTGGAAGTGAAGGAGCAGAATGCCGTGAGTGCTACTGAGGAAACAGCTGTTGAAGACAGCAAAGATAAAAAAGCTCGAAAATCGAGAAAAAACTCGAAAAGTGAAGCCAAGGAGAGTGCATCGACTAGTGACGTTGGGAAGAAGTTGCGCATTGAGAGAAATTATTGGGTGGAATATTGGGACGACAACGACGGTCACTGGATTTGTATGTTTCCCTACATTCTCGATTTCCTAAAAATTTTTTGATTTTTCTCGTTATATCTGACGTTTTAAATCAACAGTAATTGACCAGCTGCGCGTCGATCCAGTTCATTAACTCGAATGTACAGAATGATGTGGATGTGCTCTAAAAGACCGAAGTCCATGTAAAATTTGCTAACTGCGTAGGTTAACAGAGTATCGATTAGTAGCTTTTCTAGATACTTACTGTTCTGGGTTCAAGAGTCGGGTCCTTCCCCTGCTCGGCAAAACTCCACTTTCACCGGGTCACAAAGATTACTCTCCCGATCGTAAGTGCGACTTTTGTGACTTCACACTGTGATTGCCGTTAGTTGTTAGCTTTGGATGTTTGCGTGTTCCTTATTTGAAGCAGGAAGCTAAATCATTTTTTTAATATGAATTTGGACAAATTTTCGAATAAAAATATCACTGGGGGGTTCTACAAGGGAAGATCATACCGTCCTGAACTGCTGTTCTTAGCAAAATGCTGTTTCCACGTTGCTTCCTTTTCCTTGACAATTAAACACATTAAGACTTATTTTTGCCTTTTACTGGTGTATATATATATATATACTTAAGAAGACATTTATGTTTTATGTTCATTCGTCTGTAGGCATGGATCCCTGGACCAGTACAGTGGACATGCCAGCAAAAGTAGAAGCCGACGCTACCGCACCAATGCATTATGTGATTGTTATCGATAACGGTAAGTCATAAAATTTTTCTTGAATTTCTTTATACTTTTTTTTATATTATCGTTTTCTGCTGAATTTTTCTTTTCTTCGATTGCTTCATCCACTCAGTTACTCGAAATGGCTGTTGCACTGTTAGTAGGGAGAAAAAGAAAACAGCGGTGAAACAAGGCTATTTTAAAAGCAGTAAGTTTTATTTTCTAAATAAAAACTGAAACAACTTTAATTGCAGGATTTGGTATGCGTGATGTAACTGCTCGATATGCTTCTAAATTTCTAGCATCTGACATGCGAAGACTTCGTGCTGATCCGGACTGGTGGGCTCAGACAATCAAGGTAAGTACTTTTCCACCTCCTCCCCCTGCGATTCTCTCCTTTTTTTCCTGTGCATTTATGAGAGACAAATAATCATAAGTAGCTCGAATAGCACATACCAACGGCATTTACTTCCAAGGTTGTGGATGACTTTATTTTTGGGAAGTGCTTACAAAAAAAGTTAAGATTTATTACAATGAAAATTTATGAATTAAAAATCTATATTTGCAACTAATAAATGAAATGTTGCAGTTATTTCGAAGTAAAGATCGAAGACGTGAGCGTATGGAGGATGTTGCAATTCATGAATATTTAATGTCGCAGCCGACACCAGCAACAGTTGCAGAGTACAAAAATCATCCATTGTAAGTTGAATTATTGTGATTTAATTTAACAAAGAATACTTGAAGTGTTGCAATACTGGGTCATATTTGTTTTTAGTTTGTTTCTCAAAATATGCAGCTGGCAACACGTCCGGCTCTTTTAGGCGATGTTGAATCGCCTGGTAAGTAGCTTTATAGCGGTTTGGACATTCATTTTGTCCCCTTACAGACCACCTCAGCGGCTTTCCCGAGAGAAAGAGCTAGCAAAGCTATAGCCATTTCGGGACATCTTTAGGTTCTGCTGAGCATCGTCACCCAGTTTCGAAAATTGCCAGTCCTGGGCTACCTTGAATCACTTCACTGACTAGGAATGAGCAACTGACTGCTGATCT